TTTTTTTGTGGGCGGGGGGGGGGGGGGGGGGGGCGGAATTGAATCTAGAATTCTAGATTACTTTTGCAAAATAATAATTATACATGTTTTTACCTTTTTACTTAAAAATTACATTAAAAAATATTATCAAACAAAATTAAACAAAACTTGTAGCTAAGAAATGTGAAGTCATATATGAAAAGCCATTTGGCTATCACCCTAACTTCAAAATTTGCAATTTATGTCAACTAGGTTTGGCTATTCACATCTTAGAATCGTACCCTGATCTTGCTGACAAACATGATGAGAAGGGTATGACTGCGTTGAATTTGTTGGCATCAAAACCATCTTCTTTCAAAAGTATGTCATCGTATGTGTTGAAAGATCTGAGCAGGACACCCTTCGTTCCTTTGCAGATGCTTGAAGCTGTGGTCTACAAGTGTAAGCATTATGCCATTATATTGTAGTAGTATTGAAGATAAATTTTGGTGTATATAGTTTTACCAGTTTATTCCCATTCCCTTTTGAGTTTTGAGGATATAGTTGACAGTATAAATTGAAAGATTTTTTCTCGTAAACAATCAAATAACAAACTAAATTGGCATAAGACTTGAGGTTTCCAATTTTGTCTGTCTTTTTTTTCCTCTTATGAAGTTAATAACTTTTTCGTATAAAGTTACATTGAGTCTAGGAATCGACCTACAAAAAATGAGGGCAAGGTTGCCAATTACCTCTTCCAAACCTACTACATACGTGATATTTGTTCATTGATTCTGGATATGACATTTTATATCAAGTTTTGACACATCAGATTAAATGAAAATTGATTCCTTCATTTTGCTATTGAAAACTTGAGATAAATAAAAGGTTTGACATACTGTTACATATTACTAGTAGTTTTGCTCTTCAATATGACATATTAGTTTACATAAATAGTCATTATACTAACTGATTTTGAGGGCAGTCACCCTGTGCAAACAATGCAAAAGATTAGTTTTGTACCCAATTGATCCCTCCAAGAGCCCATGCCTTTTGAATATTATTATTATATTTTTGCATTTTTTAAAGAAATTTTTTTTTTTTTGAGCAACTTGTTTTGGTTAGTCAAATTTATTTTTGTTTGTTTGACAATTATTTATTTTTAAGCAAAAACATTTTAAGAAATTGTGGAACGAATTCTACTTTGTTGAGTTTGTTGAAATATAGTATTACTTCTTTGTTTATCTGTTTGAGTTGGTAGAAAACCTACTTGTTATGAAACATTTATAGAATGGTCTACTTGATTAGAAATTCTTTAAGTTTTGCAGTGAAGGAAAATTTAGTAAATTCCTTCTTGTGTGGTTGAGCAGTTATAAAAACAAGCACAGTTTTGAAGTCGCCAGTGGCTGATAACGTAGAGGATCCACCAACTGATAACAGAGTTGGTATCTCAATGGTAGAAAGACCATTTTTCATCAGAGTTATCTTAGGTGTGGTACCTCTTCTTATTCTTATTTTTCTTCTTCTTTTATTTTTTTTCATTAAAGTGTCACTCTCCCCGGAGTACTTATACTGGTTTTCTCCTTATTTAACTACTGCTACAATTGTCCCTCTTTTATTAGGGTATTGGTTTTTTGGAAAAATTTACCATGCAAAGCAAGAGCATGAAGTTGTGGAAAAGCTGGCAAATAAATTGATAGAAAAAGAATATTGGAGTCATTACATTGACTGCGAAAGTATAGATCCCGAAGTCAGCTCATTTGGGATTCCTTCAATGAAGAAGAATAAGGTAAACGACCCGCTCATACAGGCAGCAACGTTCGGCATTCTTGAATTGGTAACGGCGATCCTTGAGAAAAATCCCGAGGCTGCAGACTCCTTTGACGAGAATGGAAGGAATATATTGCATATAGCGGTGGAGCAGAAGCATAGATTTCTTTATGAATACTTGATGAGTTCTTTAGCTTATAAAGATAGGATGCTGGCGGATATTGATAACCGAGGGAACACCATCTTGCACCTCGCATCGTGTGTTGAAAATCCTGCTACTTCTAATTCTAGAATCATAGATGTTGCTAGCCAATGGAGAGTCGATTATCATGTCGGAACGATCAGAACGAAGCGGGGAAGTGTCGAAGTGGTAAACCAGATGAGTTGGGATGTGCTTTGGTTCAAGGTACTAAAGCAATTTTCAAAATATCTTTTAAGGTGTTATATGTCAGTTGTGAAGCCCAATACTTGATGGGATCGATTTTTCATCTTACAACTATAACAAATAACGTACGTTTTGCATAAATAACTAATTTCATGTTTTTTCCACAGCGTGTAAAGCATGACATTTATCCACACTTATGGCATCTTCGAAACATGGATGGAATGACAGCAGAGGAACTATTCGAAGAAAATCGCTCATCTCTTCGAGAAGAAGCAGAGAAAGCAGCAAAACATGTGAGTGCTAACTTAATATTCGTTGCCATCCTCATCGGCACAGTTAATTTCGCAGCGCTTTTCACCGTCCCCGGTGGCTTCAATCAGAATACCGGTGACCCCATGCTCCTCTCTGGTCATCCACAGGAAATGCAGTTATTCATGATTTACATAGGGTTAGCTCTGTTCTTCGCATTTCTGTCGTTGACAAACCTCGTGCTAATCCAAGTATCGCGGTTCGACACCAATGACTTTCACATTGCAATTCCAGTAAAATCAATAATATCCTCCGTCACCATTATGTACTCCACCGGCTTGTCTGCCACCGCATATTGCCAAGGCTATATACTTGAGAGCCGGCCGGGAACCTTCATAGCCACCTTTATGATTTTGTACATGGTGTTTGTGTGGTATGTCTTGGCCCTGGTAATGGTAGACACTACGGTCTCCACTTTCGATTACATGTACTATGCTATTTTCAATTTGCTTGCTTATAAAAGTTCGGACATATAGAATTTAATTATTGAGATTTGTATTGTATAATATAATCTTTGTATTCAAGAGAATTACAGCAAATGAATTAAGAGTTTTTTTAGAATATAACAAAACAATTACATGAGAAAGAGTGCATTTCCGAATTATCGTTAGTTTTTTAGTACATATTCATGATCCAAATGGCGAAGAAGCTTAATCTTCAGAAGCGTTCACTTGGCACAAGTTGCGGGTTCGAGTCCCATCAATCCTAACGGATTTTATAAATCCATCAATTCATTTCTCTATTTTCTATGAAAAGCGGATAGAGAGCATAATTTCATTTCCAATCGGAGATCCTTTTTAACTATTTTATATAAGAAAACTAAAAGATTGCAATTATCTTATTCTTGATCGCAACCATCTCGTTCGTCTCCGTATTCAACATTAAGCTTCATATGAAAAAATGGGGATTCAAAGAAAGCACTAAAAAAAAAGTCTAACCCTAACAATTTCTTCAAAATTAAAGCAACAAAACACCGCATACCAGACGATGCCATATTTACCGTGGTTTTCGTGAGACAGAATCACCGGAAAATTTGGGAATAAATTCCAGAAATTCAAGAAAAATTCAGAATAAGAAGAGTGTCATATATTTGATATTTTGAGTTTTGTAGTCTCTGAATTTTAGATTAAATGAAGCATAATGATTATTTTTTTTTGCATAATTGGATAAATTGTTATGCTCCATAGATAAAATTTCAAGAAATCATTTTGTTTAGTATAATTGGTATTCTGGAATATTATATTATGTATTTTTTACATGATTAAAGCTAGCGCAGTTAATTGAACTGAGCTACTCGAGCTCAACTTGAGTTCGGTTCCTTTTGGGTTCGTTCAAATTTTTTAAACAAGCCGAATATGAATATAATTTAAAGCTTGTTTATAAACGAACCAAGCTCGAATGATTTGATATTTTTTTACCTAGTTTTACTATTATTTTTAATGGTCCAATTATAGTCACCTATTCCAAACCTTTACTGAGATCCAATGGTGAGGAGGACAACATGTATATTAATCTTTCTAACCCTAATACACCATCTAAAGGCGTCGTCTACAACTCTCAAGCCTCAAGCCCTCAATTCTAGTGCCTCTCATCGTCTACAAATGTCTACATCTCTTGTCTGCCTCTCATTGTCTAAAGCCCTCAACTTTGGTGTCTCTCATTGTCTACAACTTTCTACATCTCTCGTTTGAAGCCCTCATCATCTGCAACTCTCTACATCTCTTGTCTGCCTCTCATCGTCTCTACATCTCTCGTTTGCATCATCGTCTGCAACTCTCTATGTCTCTCGTCTGCCTCTCATCTCTCGTTTGCATTATCACCCAAGTATTGGTTGTGCGAAGTAATAAATACTTGAGATTCCGAAGTCGAACCATGGGAAATTGTTGAAAACTTGGAACACAAGAAGAATAAAAGAAAAATTACTTTGAAAGAATTTGATTGAATTGGTTTTGAAAAAACAGTGAAATTTTGGTTTGAAACAATAATTGGAAATACAAAAACATAAGGAATTCATTTTTAACTCCACACAATATTTATTCTTGATTCGATTTTCAAACTCAATTAAGAATCAACTGAGAAATGATCTTAATCGGAAGATTAAACTGTGATAATATTGAAAATAAATCCAAAAATATAATAGATAAATTATTTGAATAAAAATTAGTATTTAATTTTAGATCTATATCACAAGCATTCATTATTCCCGGAGTCGACGATTAGTCAAGATCTCCAACAAAAAATAATGTTTTATCACAAATAAGAAATCAATTATATTTTCATAAAAATCTCAATTAATTGTTTTAATCAGATAAAACCAATTATTTGACTCACAGGGAATTTAATGCATTCGATGTATGTGACATAACGAACTAAGATATTTTATAAAACAAAAATTTTACTAAAGTATTAGAATCAATCAACTAGAAAAATTATGCGTTAAATAACAATGAATAAAAAATAAATACGATATTTCGTTGAAAAATTCACCCCTAACTTTAGTTAGGAATTTAGTAATCCATATACATGAAAAAATAAAGAAAGACGAAGAAGATAAGATCTAGAATTCTCCTTCTCTCAAAAGAAAGAGGATATATTTATACTAGGGAGACAAAGGTTGGCATTGGAACAAGTCTTTGCCAAAAAATAAGTATATTTGGGTCAAAACTCATCTATCAAATCTTGGGATGCGTCCCCACGCAGGTGCCGTATATATCCAAACTCCAAGCTCAATTTTTATATAGTTAGAGGCCGTTTCATAAAATTTTCATGACATACACTTTTGTAACTCTTGAAAACTGCTTTCCAATGTTGTAAAAATCAGGTTAATCGAACATTAGAGTAAAAAGTTATGACCAAAATATTGAATACGTATCAAAATTTTATCTTTCAAAATACTTTTATAATCCAACTCTAAATGAGTTTTCTACTAATTTGGACTCATACGAGAATACCTTATCTTCAAATCTTCATCTTTTAATCTTGACCTTTTAATCTGTATCAAATATCTCATTATGATCTGTGACTCTTCCTTTAGTGTTTGTTTTCATTTGTATTATCAATTATTACTTTAAATCAACTAAATCAACGAATATAATACATTTAATTATAAATAATATTTATTTAAAGAATCATTAAATATAATAAACAAACACTTTCGATGGTTATTCAAGGCTCTCTGGGCTTCAAAATTTAAACAGAATCTTGTTTGGCCACAAAATCCAAAAGGGAAATATTTGTCCATAAAGATACTCACAACAAAAGACGTTATTCATTCTTAGTTCACTAAATTCTTTTCGTGCAGTGTGGATAGGGGCTTTATTCCTTTGTTTGTTTATGAGACTTACCATTTGTAAACACCAAAAAGTTTACAATGAGAGAGGTATGGTTTCCAACTCTTTATCCACAGTGTATTTATAGAAGAATTACTTTCCAAAATAGTCTGTTGTTGCTTTGGGACTCCAACTTCTCCTTCTTTATTCAATCCTATTTTTGTTTTTTGTAAGTTATCTCAAATATAAACAAGTGTTAACACATATTTGAGCTAACATTTGAATAAAAAACTTGATCTGATGCATAACACTTCATTAGACAAAGGAATAAAGGGTAAGATTCCAAATCACAGAAAAGTAAAAGTGTAATTGGCATAAGCAATTTATACTTCTTTTTCTTTTTTTTTCTGGGTAGAGAGAGAGAGAGAGGTCTGTATAAATATATGTCATGCATTGCTTCTCATCTTTCCCACACATAACCATCAATATATTTCTCGTTAAACTTGCTCGAAATGGCAAGCTCCTGCTCGGCAACAGTTTTCAACACTTTACGCCACCGCTCCAAAGCTTACAAATTTGCCTCAGAAAATACAGCAGAATCATTGCAATTCTTCTGTAATTTCACGAGAGATGAAGGCGCAGTCGACCAACGCGGCGACACAGTCCTCCACCTTCTGGCCATCAAAGGGAATGTGGCCGCCTTGCGAAACCTACTTCGGGCAGACCACTTGGTCGACGAAATGCTCCTGAGAAAGAATGCCAACGGCAACACAGCGCTGCATGAAGCTGCGATGTCTGGTCAGAAGGGTGTGGCGGAGATCATGGTGACGAAGAAGCCAGATTTAGTTTTCGAGCGGAATAATTCGAACGAGACGCCTCTTTACCTTGCTGCTGCGTTTGGAAAGAGAGAAGTTTTCACATTTCTGGAAAGCAAAAATAGCAATTGCAGGATAAGGAGGCACGATGGCTCCACCATTCTTCATGCTGCCATTGAGGGAGAACATTACAGTAAGTTTCCAATTCCATTCATTGTAGTTAATATTCATTTGAATGTTGGTCAAATCAACCACAAATTTTGATGGAATTATCTGCTTTATTTCCTCCATTAAAAAGCTTCAAGGCACTTACTCTCCGCAAGTACAACGTTGCTTTAGGGGCAACATTTGTATTAATTTTGCAGGAACTTGTGGGTTCCATAGGGCCACCCTCAGCATATATGATTGGGTAAATATTTTAATTTGTCCTCAAACTACTTTGTCTTTTGTTTTAAAATAGTTCATGAACCTCCAATTTTCTCGGTTTAGTCCACCAACTATTAATTTCGTGTCAATTAAGTTTTATTGTCAATTTCAGTCATCAGAACAAACAAAGACAAGTTATGTGTTTGTTATGTAGCCGTCCACATTACATGTAATTGTTTGTTCTAGGATGAAATTGACGTGAAGACTTAATTAACACAAAATTAATAGTTAGGAATTATATTGAAACAATTGAAAGTTTAAGGATCATTTTAAAATAAGAGATAAAATTTAAAGATTAATTATGATATTTATTCCATATAATTTTGTACTCCCTCTTGATTCGTCCTCATACTTTTAAATTTATTAGGGGTTTTTGGAAGCTTGTCCACAATTGTGGATTTTTGGGTTAATAAGGATAGATGCGTTCTTTTTGGGGGTTAAATGATAATTAAAAGTATAAAGATTAACTTACCTTAATGACATAAATAATTAAATAATTATATTACAAAACAGTAATAATAACATATAAAAGTGATATTGAAACAGTGACAATTAATTTAACTTCTCAAAATTCACAAAAATAAACAATAATGGTAACATATGACAATAATATTGTGATAGTAACAGTTACAACGATAGTGAATTTTTATTGTCACTGTCCACAATTCACAGAACTAAGTAACGTTAATGTAGGGGATTTATCCGCGCGTTCGGGATGTCCTCCCCCCACAGAAGGATTTCAGCTGACCTGCGCGCGTTCGGCAGTAGCCTTTACCTCTCTTTTCAGCTGACCTGCGCGCGTTCGGCAGTAGCCTTTACCTCTCTTCGCCAATAGGACCCTTTCCTAAGGCAATCCCACATCGGAAGAGAGTCGTCTTCCCCCCTCGCATATAAGCCCTTGCACTCAAAGGAGGAGGTACCCACTAGGCACCTGATCAGGTCGCTAGTGGGTACCTCCTCCTTTGAGTGCAAGGGCTTATATGCGAGGGGGGAAGACGACTCTCTTCCGATGTGGGATTGCCTTAGGAAAGGGTCCTATTGGCGAAGAGAGGTAAAGGCTACTGGGGGGTCGCCCGCGTGGGTTAACCCAGGTCAAGCCGAAATCCTTAGTAGAGGGTTCTACCCCTTACAAAAAGGCGCCTTTTTGTAAGGGGTAGAAACCTCCACTCAGGATTTCGGCTTGACCTGGGTTAACCCACGCGGGCGACCCCCCAGTAGCCTTTACCTCTCTTCGCCAATAGGACCCTTTCCTAAGGCAATCCCACATCGGAAGAGAGTCGTCTTCCCCCCTCGCATATAAGCCCTTGCACTCAAAGGAGGAGGTACCCACTAGCGACCTGATCAGGTGCCTAGTGGGTACCTCCTCCTTTGAGTGCAAGGGCTTATATGCGAGGGGGGAAGACGACTCTCTTCCGATGTGGGATTGCCTTAGGAAAGGGTCCTATTGGCGAAGAGAGGTAAAGGCTACTGGGGGGTCGCCCGCGTGGGTTAACCCAGGTCAAGCCGAAATCCTTAGTAGAGGGTTCTACCCCTTACAAAAAGGCGCCTTTTTGTAAGGGGTAGAACCCTCCACTCAGGATTTCGGCTTGACCTGGGTTAACCCACGCGGGCGACCCCCCAGTAGCCTTTACCTCTCTTCGCCAATAGGACCCTTTCCTAAGGCAATCCCACATCGGAAGAGAGTCGTCTTCCCCCCTCGCATATAAGCCCTTGCACTCAAAGGAGGAGGTACCCACTAGCGACCTGATCAGGTGCCTAGTGGGTACCTCCTCCTTTGAGTGCAAGGGCTTATATGCGAGGAGGGAAGACGACTCTCTTCCGATGTGGGATTGCCTTAGGAAAGGGTCCTATTGGCGAAGAGAGGTAAAGGCAACTGCCGAACGCGCGCAGGTCAGCTGAAATCTTTCTGTGGGGGGAGGACATCCCGAACGCGCGGATAAATCCCCTACAAAAAAGACGCCTTTCTGTAAGGGGTAGAACCCTCTACTAAGGATTTCGGCTTGACCTGGGTTAACCCAGGTGGCGCGACCCCCCAGTAGCCTTTACCTCTCTTCGCCAATAGGACCCTTTCCTAAGGCAATCCCACATCGGAAGAGAGTCGTCTTCCCCCCTCGCATATAAACCCTTGCACTCAAAGGAGGAGGTACCCACTAGCAACCTGAGGTAAAGGCTACTGGGGGGTCGCCCACCTGGGTTAATCCAGATCAAACCGAAATCCTTAGTAGAGGGTTCTACCCCTTACAGTTAATTTTTATTGTTACTATTCATCGAATTCTATGGAACTAGACAGTAACGTGAACTAGACAGTAACACGATCACAATAATAGAGACAATGACAGTGACAAAGGTAGTGAATTTCGTTGTCACTATCCAAATTTCAAGGTTTGAATTTAAAATAGATTTTGGCTAAAACCAAAGAAATTTTGTCGAATTTAGTCGATCATCACTATTAACAAATTTGATGTATTTAAATAACTTGAGTTTGAAATGAAATTTGGATTGTTTATTTTTAATGCATTTCATCATACACCATTTGGGCATATCATTTGTTAGTGGTAGAGAGACCTCGTTCCAGAATCCTTACCCTCTTTGCTGGGACCTTCGCTTCACTCCTAAACCAAAACTACATAAAAAGGTGCACAAATAGCAAAGAACAACTTTATAAAAAGATTGTCAAAAAATAGACCGAACCAAAACGAAAACAATGAAATCTGTTTTGGTTCTTTTTCTTTGTTATCTTCATCGCATCACTTCTTACTCCGAGGAACAGTATGAGGGAAAAAAATGCAAGAAATCGAGAATCGAGAAAAACAAGCGCTGACCGCCATAGCCATTGAATATGATATTGCATCAATCTGATCGCAGCTTCAGGAAGATCGAGTGAGAAGAAAAAAAATATTCAACTAATCAATTTTAGGTTGGGATAGTCTTGTATCAGAAAGAATCGATCTAGTCCGCCGGAAAAAGAGTCGGAAGAATATGCATCGAAAATATTGGGCCCAGGAATTTATTATTCTTCTTTTTTCAAGTCACGTTTGTTTTTATATTCTTTAATTTTTTTTACTTTTCTTTATCCTCCCTTCCTCTAAACTTAATCACTTGTCTAATTATATAAGAAAATATATTATTTATATACTAAAATGAATCTAGATCACTTTTGCAAAACAATAGTTACAAATGCTTTTACTTTTTTGACAGATTTACTTTGTTACTTAAAAATTACATTAAAAAGAGACTATTATGTGAAAAATATGAAGTCATATATGAATAGCCCCTCCTCCGACTATCATCCTAACTTAAAATTTTTGCAACTTATGTCAACTAGGTTTAGCAATTCACATCTTGGGATCGTACCCTGATCTTGCTGACAAACATAATGAAAAGGGCATGACTGCTTTGAATTTGTTGGCCACAAAATCATCTTCTTTCAAAAGCAAGTCATCGTATGTGTTGAATGATCTGAGCAGGACACCCTTCATTCCTTGGCAGATGCTTGAAGCTGTGGCATACAAGTGTAAGCATTATGTCATTATATTGTAGTAGCATTGAAGATAAATTTTTGGTTTATATATATTTACCAGCTTATTCCCATTCCTTCCCTTTTGAGGATATAACTGAAAATATAATTTGATAGACATTTCTTGTAAACAATCAAATAACAAAGAACTAAATTGACATAAGACTTGAGGTTTTCAATTTTGGTTTTTTTTTTTTTTTAATCCTTTATGAATTTAATAAAATTTTCATATAAAGTTACATCGAGTCCTGGAATTGACCAACAAAAAATGAGGGTAAAGCTGCCATTTATCTCTTCCAAATCTACTATATGCGGGATATTTGTATACTGGTTCTGGATATGACATTTTATACGAAGTTTTCACACATTGATCAAAAAGACCTTCAAAATGAAAATTGATTCCTTCATTTTACTACTGAAACTCGAAATAAATAAAAGGTTTGACAAACTGTTACATATTACTAGTTGTTTTACTCTTCAATATGGCTTATCAGTTTACGTAAATAGTCATTATGCTAGTTGATTTTGAGGGCAGTCACCCTGTGCAAACAATGCAAAAAATTAGGTATGTACCCAATTGATCCCTCCATGAGCCCATCAGCGTGAACTAAACTGAGTCTTATTTTTTTTTCACAATAGAATTCTGATTTTGCTTTTTAATTTTTGTCAAACAAAATGGACTCTTAAATATTATTATTGTGTTTTTGTGCTTTTCAAAAAAAATTTTGGAGTAAATTGTTTTTGTTTATCTACTAAGATTCATAAATCAATTTTACAAATTACTAGTCAAACTTGTTTTTGTTTGCTTGATGAAATTATTTATTTTGAAGCAAAATCACTTAAACAATTACAGAATGAAATCTACTTCGCGGAATTTTAATTAAAAAAAAAAGTTATTTGTTTATCTGTTTGAGTTGGTGGAAAAACAACTTATTATAAAACATTTATAGAATGGTCTACTTGATTACAAGTTCTTTAAGTTTTGCAGTGAAGGAAAATTTAGTGAATTCCTTCTTGTGTGGTTGAGCAGTTATAAAAACAAAGATTGACGAGAAAGTTTCGGAGTCTGAATTGGCTGGTAATGTTGGTATCTCAAAGGTAGAAAAGCCATTTTTCATCAGAGTTATCTTAGGTGTGGTACCTCTTCTTATTCTTATTTCTCTTCTTCTTGTCTTTATTATCCATTGAACAATACATATTATTGATTGTTGTTTAAGGAAGCTGAATCTCTTAAAGAATAGAAGTCAAATGTCGGTGTCTTCTGTGGTAAAATGCATGGAGAAAGCTATTCGCCCTATCCTTTTGAAATGTAGTATCACAAATGTTTTGCCCCCTCAAGGATTTTATAAATTTTATTGTATTTTCTCAAAGATAAAAGATCTCGCATTAACACTTCAATTTCTCAAAAGCATAGCAATGTGCCACCGGTGGTATTTGTTTTCCCATTTATAAAGATATCACAATGTCGTCTTACATCTTTCGTGCGAAAATGAGACATTGCTTACAAATTGGGACATATTTTTAGCCTTTAAAGAAATTCAAGTCCCATACGAGACTTTTAAGGTTTGGGGGAAGAGTCAAAATTTTAAGATTTTTAAAGAGAAAGTGTCACTATCCCTAGAGTATTTATCCCAGTTTTCTCCTCATATAACTACTGCTACGATTGTCCTCATCTATTAGGTTACTGGTTTTTCGGAAAAATTTACGATGCGAAGCAACAGCATGAAGTTGTCAAAAAGCTGGCACAAAAATTGATAGAAAAAGAAGATTGGAGTCATTACATTGACTGCGAAAGTATAGGTCCCGAAGTCAGCTCATTTGGGATTTCTTCAAGGAAGAAGAATAAGGTACCCGACCCGCTCATACAGGCAACAACGTTCGGCATTCATGAGTTGGTAATGGCGATCCTCCAAAAATATCCCGAGGCTGCAGACTCCTTTGACGAGAATGGAAGGAATATATTGCATATAGCGGTGGAGCAGAAGCATAGATTTCTTTATCAATACTTGATGAATTCTTTGGCTTATAAAGATAGGATGCTGGCGGATATTGATAAGCAAGGGAACACCATCTTGCACCTCGCATCGTATGTCGAAAATCCTGCTAGTTCTCATCCTAAAATCATAGATGTTGCTAGTCAATGGGGAGTCGATTATCATGTCGGAACGAAGCGGGGAAGTGTTGAAGTGATAAACCAGATGAGTTGGGATGTGCTTTGGTTCAAGGTACTAAAGCAATTTTCAAAATATCTTGTGTGTTTGTGTTTTATATCAGTTGTGAAGCCCAATATTTGTTGGGATCCATTTTTCATCTAACAATTATAACAAATTAGACCTTCAAATTAAGTACAAATAACATTTTGCATTAATAACTAATTTAATGTCTCCCTAATCCATTTTCATTTTTTCCACAGCGCGTAAAGGATGACTCTTATCCACACTTACGTCATCTTCGAAACATGGATGGAAAGACAGCAGAGGAACTATTCGAAGAAAATCGCTCATCTCTTCGAGTAGAAGCAGAGAAAGCAGCAAAACACGTGAGTGCTAACTTAATAATCGTCGCCATCCTCATCTGCACAATTAATTTCGCAGCACTTTTCACTGTCCCTGGTGGCTTCAATCAGAATACCGGGGACCCCATTCTCCTCTCCGATCATTGGCAGGAAATGCAGTTCTTCATGGTTTACATAGGGTTAGCTCTGTTCTTTTCCTTTCTCTCCTTGGCAAACCTCGTGCTAATGCAAGTATCGCGGTTCGACACCAATGATTTTCACATTGCAGTTCCAGTAAAATCCATAGTAGCCTCCCTCACAATTATGTACTCCACCGGCTTGTCTGCCACCGCTTATTTCCAAGGCTATATACTTGAGAGCAAGCCGGGGACCTTCATAGCCACCTTTATGATCTTGTACATGTTCGTTGTTTGGTATGTGTTGGCCCTCGTAATGGTAGACACCACTTTCTCAACTTTCGATTACATGTACTATGCCCTTCTCCATTTGATTGCTTATAAAAGTCAGGGCATATAGAATTTGATTATAGAGATTTGTATTGTATAATATAATCTTTCTATTCAAGAGAATTACAACAAATGAATTAAGAGTTTTGTTAGAATTTAAATTACAGAACAATTTACATGAGAAAGAGTGCCTTTACGGAATTAACGTTAGTTTTTAGTTCAATTCCCAACTTAATGTTGTTGTGAAAAATAATTCATTCCCATTGTGTTATTTTAGATGTTACATGTTAGAAGTCATGTGGGCAAATATGCTTGGAAAGTTCTGGAAAGTAATATGTTTGGAAAGTTGACTTGAATTAATAGATGACTTTCTTTTGATTAGGGCTACATCAAGTTTTATGATTTTTTGGGTTTTGTTATATTGTATTTGTGTTGATTACTAGTCAATCTTAATCTATCTTACTTGATTAATTGTGTTGGATGTATAGATACCAATCGGATCTATTTTATTATGTTTGTTTGAGTTAATCTGCATAACTCGTGAACTAAAAAAATTAAGAGATTTTTGTAGGACTTAATTGTGTAAAAGTCCTTCAAGCAAAACAATTTGTGTAGAGATTTTTTTTTATTTGTGAATACCTAATATACCCACAATAAAAACTAACCAGCTCAAACTAATGGGTTTGGAAACCACCGAAAATTAAGCAGCCTATCTATGAAGATCGGCGACAAACGATATCCTGCAAAATAGGTTGTTTGAAATTCAAATAAAACATGGTGTTTGAAATTCAAATAAAAATACTGCAAAATCCATGAGATTTTAACCAAATCAAAAACACAAACAACCAAAAATTTGAGAACTAAAAAAATCTTTGAATATACGTTGGAACACAATTAAAGTCCGACTATCAATTTTTTCAACTATAATCACTGACAATGTCTACGGAACTAACTATGGATTGATTGATTTGTAATTATATTGTAGTGTTTAAGTTAAACCATTAACATGTGGAAGCATAACACAATGTTTTTGGGAACTAGGGTTCTTATCATTGCATTTTTACATTCTAGTGATATATTATAGTGTAAAAACTTAATTAACACTTTAATAATTGACAAAACATGTGCAATTTCATTTTTAGATTCACGCACAAGATAAATGGTGTACTTTATACAGTGTGACATCACAATGTAATATCTAAAGTTCGGCAAATACATATATTGCTTTTATGGAATATCAGTTTTACATCAAAGTGTAACTGTACAATACAACAACCGTAATTGGGTATAAAAAGTTTGACAATCAAATGTGATATCCATTCCATTCATTGCTGCCTTTAAAAAAAATTACACTGTCTTCCAAAACAAAATTAAATTAAACAGAAATCATAAATTCATTAATAAGGCATTGAAATAGAAGAAAAACACGACCTATGGATGGAAATAACAAACGTTGAAGAAGAAGAAATACACAACTTGTGAGTGAAAACTGTAGGAATTGAAGTAAAAGACAAGCATCAAACGTTGAAGTAGAAAAGTTGAAGTAGAATAAGATGTTGAAGAAGACGAGCACCAGACGTTGACGTTGACGTTGAAGTTGAAGAAGATAACATACATTTAAATTTCAAAAAATAAAAGTCTTTTAAAATAAGAAACCACTGATTTAATAAAACTAAATCCCATGGAAAGAGGAACTGTCAAACTAAATAGTTTATAAATTATAGAAAAAAAAATTTCAGTAAAGGAAAATTAAAAAAACTGCCATTGTATATCTAAACACAATACATTTCCAACTAATAGTACTTATCTACAATACATTTTCAGCAAGGTATTTTCTCATAAATAAATATTTCATAAGGTACCTACTTACAAATTTCTGAAAAATTATAGCTAAAACTTCTTCTATGTCAACCAAACTGATTATCGATAGGTCTTCCATAAACTAAAAATTCATATACTAGCAAAATCAGGAAAAAAAAAGTCTTCTAATTCTATAAGTATTAATACCATTTTAGCTCAAGAAATGAAACAAAGGAAAAAAAAATTTACTTTTTCTTCATACAATACTAAATAAATTTGTGTCAAAATAATGTTATTTGTATTTATCTCTATGTGGCCCCATTATTATTCATGTTAATAGTCGCGTCACTTTTGCATTTGTGTCAACAATTAATCAATCTTAATTATATAATTCTATATCATATTTTTGTCTGGCCCACTACACATAGTGTCAAAATTACCATCCTACTCATGAGTTGTGATTGAAATATATCGAAATGGGTGTTACAATAATTTCAAAAGATCTGGGTAGTAGACGGTAATACGAATGTAATATCATCATTTGAATTTTCTTTTTCTTTTTTTGAAGGGGGGGAGGGGGGATTCGGCCTCTGGCTTGTACATGACTCCAAGGTCCCAAATGAAACTATGTTGTGTGTTTTTCTTTGCATCCTGGGGGCAAATTTAATTATCAGTAATGTATAGTTACCAAGTTTTTTATCTTAAATGATGTGACATAATTTTTATAATTAAATATTAACAGAATCTATTTATTTGATGGTAAAAAAAATGTGCCACGTCACTTGGGATAAAAAATTTGGTAAGAAAACTTAGTCAGCATAGCATTATTGATCACCAAAAGAATTTCTTGTTTTTCTTTAAACAGTCTTCTACAATATTGTTAGATTGGCAATTTTAGGAGTATTATTATTTTGGCCAAAAACTTGGAAAAATATTATTTATCCAGGACAACTATATGGTATTTCTAGTTCACTAAATTTTTTTCTTGCAATATAGATAGGGGCTTTGTTCTTTTCTTCCTGACACTTACCATAAATAAATAACAAAGGTTGGCCATCAAAGTATATGATTTCCAAATCTTTATTACATAATGTATCACCAAAAGAATCAATTTAGTAAATTTTTTTGATTTTTATTTGCCACTCAAACTTTTCCTTTGTTGTTCATTAATAAAATTCGGGCACAGTCTCTTTTGACGTAGAACTCTATCCAAAACACAATTTGTGCAATTATATTATATTGATCACACCGGATCCATTTATGAATAAATATTGATCATACCGAGTCCATTTATAAGTAAACATTGACAATACCGAGTCTATTTATCCATACTCATATAACCACATACAATTTTTCTTTTACATTAAAACAGTCTATATGAGTTAGATTTGTAACGCCCCAAAGTCTCCCTTGGACGACATTACTATCTAAAACCATTCACATCATGAGAGCAACTAAATGGATTTTATAACAAAAGAGAATTTCCTTCATCATCCACAATATATACAGCATTATCCAAAATACTATGCTTAACTATGGTAATTACATCCAAAAGAAAATCAATTATTATCTTGTAGCGGAATAACGAAAATATTAGACTTCATATTGTCTCAAAATAAATTTTCTAGTCTAGAACATAAGGGAATATAGCTCTAAATGTTTCCCTCATGATTCACGTTCCCATCTATTAGAGCTTCCCAATGTACCGGCTCATCAACTCCGAGCTCCTCCACTGGACCATAATCTGAAAAAGATATTGTTTGTAGGGGGTGAGCACTAAGCTCTATAGAAAAATCTTGTCAAACTCGAATAAGGTTTTCAAAGTATAAAAAATAGTCAGTCTCATTTTACAAATATCATATATAGCTTTTAAAGGAAAACAGAGACATTTCAATGGATCTCAAATTTACACAATAGCAATAATTAAATGAAAAGTAAAATCAATTCTCAAAAATAACAATTCCAACGAATTACCATTTCCACAATAAACCATAACCAACCATTTTTACAATAAACAATAGCCCTCAATGTATTTCAGGTATGATGTAAGATTTTGTATGAATCCACATATTGAGAATATCCTGGTCCGCACACACACACCCAATCCTCGCAAGGATACCCAACTTTAGGAAGAGCGTATATCGACGCATCGGCAATGACAAATCCAATCCAGAAATAGTATACTAACCTTCAGCATCGATACCCGTGAGCGAATAGTGGTTTGGTCCTTGCAAGGCACCAACCCCACTACGAGTGGTAGAAAAAATTCAAACCCGCACGGAACAAAAAACGCATCTACCCACTCTACAATACCCAATCAATGGCCACCCATGATTATCTAAACATTCACACAAGAGATACAATAGAAACCAATTTCTCAAATCACAAGTAAATCAAAAACCCTCAATTCCATATGTATTTTTTCAACGGAGCAAATTCAAGAAAAATATGCAAGAGATCATCAAATATATATTTTTATTGTTCAAACGAAGCACTAGAGTTTTGAAATCAAAAACAAGGAATATCAAGAAGAAAAATCTCTATTTCTTGAAAGAATCAAGGGTTTTGAGATTACAACAAGGATTTCATGACTCATTCAAAACATGATAGGATTTGCAAAGACATCAAGAAACCATGATATCTGTATAAGCTCTAACTTCAATGAACAAGAGTGAGAAGAAACCCCTACCTAGCAATCAAGAATTCCAAGCAAAACCCAAACTTTATAAACTTTCTTCTTCCATTTTCTTTTTCCCTTTATCTTCTCCTAAGGTTCTAAGAAGTTTGGGATGAGAATGGGATGAAAGAATGGAAGAAAATGGGTTGAAATCTGTGTTTTAAACACAGCAGTCCCCATAGTTACTGTTTATGGGCTGAAATTTGGGTTTTCTCCAAAATTATGGTTTTGCCACTAAAAATCTCTAATTTGATCCATATGTCTACCCTAAGGTTTTTCGACATTCTAGATTTATTTTTTATATTATTTTAACCTAAAAATATTTAATTTTATGATTTATCTCAAAAATAAAGTAAATTTACATTCGAAATACTAAAATTATTATTTTATTCCTCTGAACCGCTATATGTGTTAAACGGTTGTTCTAAGTTTTTCGGATCTCCCAAGTTAAATGATTATATTATTTTGACCTAAAAAAATTAATATTTTTATTTAGTTACCCTTATCAACTTTAAACACCTCCAAAAATTAAATTTCACAATCAATTTTTCTCCTTAATATTTATTCCTAGTATTACAATCTATAGGGTTCAT